GCTGGGGGATCGAACCGCGGTCCCTGTGCTTTGCCAAGCTTGTTTCAAGTAGGTGCTTTAGACCACTGAGCCATCTCTCCAGCCCCTACATTCTCTTTTTAAAAATTTTATTTATTCACTTATTTATTTATTTGATACAGGGTCTCCAATAAAGCTCTATGCAGCGTGGACTCAGTGCTATTCTCTTCTCAGCCTCCCAGCACTGGGATTCCAGGTGTGTGCCACCACACCTGGTTTTTTAGCTGGCACAGCACGCCCAGGGTTGTGGGACCAGCACAGCATGCAGTACTGGGGATCGAACCCAGGTCATTGAGCTTACCAGGCAGGCACTTAGACCACTGAGCTATCTCCCCAGCCTGTAAATATCATTTCTTTATCTATTCCCCTGCTGATGAACAATATAGGTTACTTCCAAGATTTATCTATGACGAGTTGTGCTGCTATGCACACAGGAATGCTAAGGTTTTTTTCCCCAAGTATTTCAGTTTCAGAGAACAAGGCCTTACCGGTTCCACTGTACTACCACTCTAGCCACTCAGCACTTTAAAAATCAACTTACATTTAGCATTATTGTTAAACTTGGGCCGGATTCTTCCCAGCGTCCCAGGTACTAAGGTAATATCATCCACGTTGGTCAGGTAATTGCTCAGAAACTCAGTTCTTTCACAGGTGACATCTTCCATTCCTGTGGAGAGGGAAAGAAAAACAAGTATTTTTATGCAGCATTAAAATCAAACCCTTAAACCTTTACGCAGACACCTAAGGTGACATCCGGGCATCTATTTAATTTGCACAAACTAATGGGTGAAACCCTCACATTTGTGATTCCTTGACTTGACTTGAAATGTTTTTAACACTTCTTTCCAGAAACTTCCACCAGGCTCTGATTTAACCTTATCATCTTGAAAGCTCTAGACGGGCGAAAAACCGCATCCTCTCAATTATCATTTTAAGCTATTGAGCAAGAACAGCAAAACAAAGGAAGTAACCACGTTTTTTAAGAAAACAATTTATAGTCATAATGAAAAAATATCTGGTCTTAAATATCATATTGTCTCCCTAGTGTAAGAACTTGAAAGAAGAAATAAAATCTGAAAGGTGTAACAGATATAGTAAAATGGAAAGAAATGGAACTCAAGGATTAAACAATGAAGATGAGAGGAGGAAAAAAGATAGGGAAAAAGGCAGGGAAAAAACATGCAAGTATATTTACAGGATGGCTGAGGTGATGGTACTAAAACTTTCCATTAGTTTTTTGCAAATAGCAGTTACTGTGTAGAATTTTCACCTTGACTAACTCTATGTGCTGAAATCTGCAATCTCAGCAACCACATCGAGGACAGCAATGTGTAATGCAAAAGCCAGGCCTGAGTACCTCTCATTTTGCTTTTCTAAATGTGCATCATTTCTAATGCCTTATCAATTATTACTCTACTCTCTTTAAAATATTTTTAAAAGGCAAATAATATAAAAGAGAGAACAAAAATTTAAAATTTCTTGAAAGCAAGTGGTAATATTCAAACATATGTCTGATCTTACATAACTATATCCATTAATCTGAGCAACAGATTTGACAATAAAAATAGATAATATATCAACCACTGTCAATCAGCTATTCTTGTTTTGCAAATCTGCAACATATGTATCATTATATGTTATGCTGTTTCTGTCTTTGTTTCTGACTTTTTTTTGTTCTTGCTTTTGTTTTTACTTTTCAAATTAAAATTAAATTAAATTGCTTTGTTTGATTTGTTTTTGGGGGCTTTTTTTGGGCAGAACCAGGGATTGAACTCAGGCCCTTGTGCTAGCCAGAGAAGCGCTTATTCCACTGAGCCATCTCCCTGGCCCCATTAAATTGTTTAAAAAAGAAAAAATCTGGTCTTTTAAAGAGAATACTAGATTGCTTAAAACTCTTCCCAGCTAAGGATGGCATAAATAACTGAAATAAACAGCATGCTATCTTTTACAAAATCTCGTTTTCCAGCCCTGCCCTACCCACCCCCCATCTTCAGCATAATCCGCAGCTTTCCTCTGTCTCCTCCGGTGGCCTTGAAAATCCCTGACAAAACAATACTGCCAATGAGAGGTGGGAAAGCAAGTGGTCGGCTCCAGCGACCACCCAAACTGAAAAACAAAGAATGCTGAGTGAAAACAAGTTGTAAGCAGTGTGATTAGCCAGGAAGCCAGCCAGCACAACACAGAGAGGGTTGTCACAGGGAATTTTTAAACCAACTAATACTCCTTTCCCACACCAAAATACACTTTCTGCTCTCCATCAAGAAAAACTCCTTAATCAATATTTTTAAAAAGAATAAAAACAAAAACTCAAATCTTAGAATTAAAGACTAGAGCAGCCAATAGCGACCTTAACTGTCATTGGAGAAATGTAGAAGATGACACGGAATTAGAGGTTTAATGTGCCCAAATGCCCCATGAATCCACTGTCACTCCCTATAGACTGGCTACCCATGGTCCACTAGTGTTCCAAAAACATTAATGAAAATTTCCAGAAGTAATTTCTAGTTGTACAATGAAATCTCCTGACTCTCTGCAACATCCCAACTGTCCAACGTATCCACACCATACATAACATCCACCCCATCGTAGTTGGGAGAGAAAAAGGGAGGCTACGTTCACATAACCTTTACTTCAGTATGTTCTCCTGATTGCTCTATTTTATTATAGCTACTGTTCATTTTTCACTGTTCCTAATTTATAAATTAAACTTTATTAGTAGTATGTATGCATAAGAAGAAAGGTGATATGTAAAGGGTCGGGTGCTAGTCGCATCCACTGGTGGAATCGGAACACACCTCTTTTGAGTAAGGAGAGATTACTGAGTTGCTTTGCACAAACTAATGTACAAATATTCTCTAGAAAGAAAAACAGGTATTCTGTGATGGGTGACCCAAGATTTTAGACTGAAGATATATAGCCCAGAGCAGCCCACAGCTGATAAAATTCAAATCATCACTGCCTGTAATCAGAGCCATATCCTCTATCCTTTGTTATTGTTATTGTCATTGTTGTTGTTGCTGTTGCTGTCATTATTGTTATTTAACCTAAAAATTGGAATGGAGAGAAAAATATATCACAAGGCACAGAGATTATTTACTTTGTCCTTTAATATTGAAATTCTCAGGAGGAAAAATTAAAACAATGGCTACCATGTCCTCGTATCAGGTCAGTCCAGGAAAAGAGTCTCCAACTATGAATAGAAGGCTGGAAGCATCTTCATTAATTACTGTCCAGGCAATTACATAAACCACTCCAGGACGCACTATGCTCTGAACGTTTCTGAGCAGCCTAAACTGTGCTACAAGCTCTAAATTCTGTCCCTGTGTGCTGCTCTCCACTAAGCCAAACTCACTGAAGCACAGCTATGTGAAAAGTAACAGTGAATTCCCTCAGGAGAGCAAGTTAGCCCTCACAGGTTTTTCCTCATAGTTTCTCAGATGTTCTAGAAAGTTCTCGAAAGAAAGCGTCATCCCAGAGTAGAAAGACTAAGGAAATTCACCAGCCATTCTAAATGGAACTGGCAAAGAATCAAGCAGTTTTCATCTTCCAAATTCAGCTGGAAGAGAGTAGGCCCAAATTCCAGGGTCCTTATTTCCATTTGATAGTTCTGGAATGCAACGTCTGTGAAATAAGAATGTTCTATGAGGCTTTCTCTGCTTTATAATCATACCATGCTTATATGTTCTTTTAAAAAAAAAATATTTATTTGGTGCAGGGTCTTGCTACACAGCTCAGACTTGTAGTCATCCTCTTGTCTCAGCCTCCCCAGTGCAGGGATTACAGGCATGTGCCATCATGCCTGGGGCTCAAGGGCTGGCATGGCATGCAGTACCAGGGATTGAACTTGGGTCCTTGCACTTGCCAGCAGGCACTTAGACCATCAAATTATCTCCACAGCATCTATAATGTTCTTTATCATCTCAGAAAAGTGGTCATGAATTTTTCTACTTCATGAAGTGATTTAGAAAAACTACTTCTTCCTGTCTTAAGTATCTTCTGGACATCAGAAAGGCCCTCTGGTCTCAGTCTTGAATTCCTTCAGTGAATTCAGGGAAACTATTGATTTATATGCAGCTTCTTTGCTCTGCCTCTTTATAATATTTAGAGGTTTTTTTTTAACCACACAAACTCTGCGAGCCCCTTTTGAGGCTATGAGTCACAGGGAAGAGAGCTTATCACCTGCTATGCCACATTCACAGATGAAGTCGTCAGTATCACCAGAACAATATCCATGACATTTGAATGAGAGATAGAGCTTTACCGAAAGTACTTTCCTACAAAAAAAGGAAGATATAGAAGTCCCTACTTTTGACTAAAATAAATCCAGGCCACCTCAGCTGTCTCATACTTTTCAATCAAGGCCTAATTTTTTTCCCTATCCTGAAGAAAAAAACAAAGAAATAAAGAATCGAACTCTGATTTCTAAGGCCAAGTAGTCCATTCCTCAGCACCTACAGAATGCTATACTCATCCATTTATTAACAAAGAAAGGAAGTGAGCTTTACCATGGTCTCCAACGAAGATGACATTCGCACACCGGTGCAGCTTGAGTTGCTTCAGACCATCCATGAGCTGGCCCACAGTTCTGTCAATATCCCTCAGTGGATTTGTCATCTGGAAAAGAGACCAAGTTAGACCTCACAGATTTTGTTTGCCTCTTTACTTTTCAGTTTCCATAGAGCTTCTACCCTTAGAACATTCTGGAAAGAAAACTTCAGGCCCAGAGGCAGAGCTTTGACTAGGGGAGAGTTTCCTGCCACGTTAACGGTAAATCCAGTCTAAGCACTTTATATTCTTTCAGGAGGATTAAAACTGCTCCTCATCCAATCCCTGTCATGATTCTTTGGCATAAGAATGCCAGAAATGTGACTGAGATCAATTCTTCTATAGAGATAAAATGGCTTTTCTAAAACATAAAGACATTCTGTAAGTCCCAAGAGTTGTAAGAGTGACCATAAAGTCAGATGGAGAGTTTAAGTCTTTTACCTTCCATGGAAAATCGCATCAAGCTTTGGACCATTGTAGGAAGATAGTGGCTAAGTCACTCAGGAGGGATTCTGAGGTTAAGAGCAAAACTTCCACTGGACAGTAAATTAGAACATCATCAGTATACAGGATCTATCTCATGTTACAGAGAACTTAACTACCAACTTCTGAAAGCAACAGATCATTAATAGAAAAAACTTCTAAGAAGCACACTCCTGCTCCTCAAATCAGTTCTTTACATGCTGATTTTGAGTGAAGCAAGAGTCTACAATCACCCTAAATTACACAAAAATGAACCACTGAGTTGGTTCTAGAAGATCTCTGATGGAGTCTTGGAGTCTAAGGAAATAAAATTCAGGCTTTTATTTTGTTGAAGACCATTTCCAGGGTCCAAAACACAACCCATCTGTCATTATTGCTTCAAATGGAAGTTGTTAACAACATGAATGTTCCCACATATGCACCACAGATTTTCTTCCTCAACTTCATCTCTCACTGCAATGGAAAGATTTTTAAGAAACATCACATGCGACAAACCCTTGACAATACTTTAGCGGAACTGTACAGCTTAGCTAGCAACCACACACATAGACCCACAGTGTTCAAGAGCAGGAGAGACCTGAAGAGCACCCTTGCTCGGGTGCATAATACCATCTCCCATCAGCGTCTTCCCAGATGATTCAAGACCTTTGATCATGTCATCTCATCAGCACAATCAGCTGCGGAGGAATATTTGAAACCCTATCCCAAGGAATAAGTCACAACACAAGGCTTCAAAATGAGAAGTGCGTGTAATCTGCCAAGACTAACAGATGTGGAATGATGTGGTATTTTCTTCTAAGAAAACCATCCTCTCCTCCAACATCCTTACCTAGACAAAGAAAGACCAAATGTACAACATATGTCTATTCTTGGTCATGACTTATTTTCCTCTCCTTCTCAGGACAATTCAGGTAAAATCCATAGCCTGCTCCCTAGCAACCAGATCGGAAGTAAGATGCTGCCTCGAGAGCTGCTGAAGGTTTTGTTACAAGGGGCAGTCAGAGACTGCTGAAGGTACTGGAAAGAGCGATTCTCCCCATCACTCGGTGGAGACACGTACCTCTGTCTGTCCTTTGTTCCCACACTGACTTTATCTCAGTTATTCCCTGTCTATCATTCTAACACCTTTTCTGATCTCCGAAAGTTCTGAGCGCTCAGCTAAGTCACCATTCCGTTAAGTCCTAACGTGCACTGTTGCTGAGCTCGGTCCTCCTGCCTTCAGGAGTCTGCTCGAGATCCAGGGCTAGAAGCCGCGGTGTCTGCATCTGCACATTAAGAGCAAGTAAAACCCACAGTGCTCTTAATTGCCAGTCACTCCAACTCAGAGGATGGCGTGAGCGCGGCGATGACAAGTCCACAGAAAAGTAAAAGGTCCTTTTGGCTACCATGCGGAAAGCTCAGGAAGTCTTCACGCCACCGCTAACCTCTAAAAGACCAGATTCTTCTGGCCCCAAAGCCAACAACTGCACCGCAGAGGTTTTCTACAACATATCCAGCCAGCTTTTAAAGCAAGGTTTCCTTCGGCGCCTGGGCGCCTGCCCACCGCAAAGCTTTGAACAACGGATGAACTTACTTTGTCCTGACGCGTTTCCGCCGTATAGTGGTCCATCCTATGTAACTTTCTTCTTCTTTTCTTTGGAGGAGCAACTGGTCTTTCCTGTCTCCTCTTAGGGGCAACTTTCCTCTTAGGTCTCTTAGCCGGAGTAAGAGGTGAGGTATAACTACTCTCCTGTACTGGCGGATAGAGATGTCACCACTCAGAAGCTGTCTGTCCCCCGGGGCAGGTGAGAAAGCTCACACTCTCCCACCATGGGTCACAGAGTCTGAGTTAGTGACACTGTGTCCACCAGTGAGGATGCAGCAGAGGGAGGGGCGACACGGGGACCTCTACAGAGAGCAGCTCCAACTGAGAACAAGGGTGTGATCTAGGAGGACCTAGTGGGTGGGTTTCCTTGGCCAGGGAGCCTTTCCCGAGGTGGTGGGAGAGAAGCTCCTGCACTAGGGGCAGACTGGCTTGGTTATAAAACACTCCCCAGCCAGGCATGGTGGTACACAACTGTAATCCCAGTATTCAAGAGGCTGAGGTAAGAGATTGTTGTGAGTTCAAGACCAGCCTGGGCTAAAAAGTGAGCTTAAGGCCAGCCTGAACTGCATAGTGAGACTCTGACTCAAAAAAAATAATTAATAAATAAAAAGCTCTTTGTGTGTAAAATGCTAGCTTACAGCCCAGTAGAATCACTTGATCCGCTTAGGTGGGACTAAGGGTGTACCAGCTGAAAGTCTGCGAATATCAGCTCACACCACCAAAAGCTTCAGGTCACTGTGCCCTTCCTTGGCCAGCATGAGCTGCACAGAGAGACCCTGTCTCAAAAACAGAAAAAAAGACAACAACGAAGCCCCTGTGTAGGGGGATGACAGGGCTTCCTGTTCTGCCCCAAAACCCCAAGAGCAGTAAAGTCTGATGCATCAGCTAAGAGAAGAAGGTGACCTTTCCCAGCTTGCAAATGTTGGAGAAGCTTTGGCCCCTGATTTGCTGATGGTGCAAAGGTGAATTGAAGCAGCAAGCCCTGCGCCTGCCAAGCTAACTTCTCTGGGCCTGGGGAAGTCCCAAGAGCCATTCTGATGCAAGAAGGGGGAGGGAGGAGTGTTAGTGAACCAAGAGGGAAACTCTGCCATGCGGTCTCGCTATCCCCAGGGCAAGCAACTGCCAGGGCTCCTCTGTGTCTTCCTGGGCCTGCCTGTCTATCCAGCAGAGCAATTCACAAACAGCCCTGCAGGAAGGTCTGGGTCATCTGAGAGCTTCTAGTTTCAGGCGCATCTCCAGGAGAAGAGCAAGAAAAGGGAAAGAAGCATTTTCCATTTCATGGTCACCAAATACATTCTGCTAGCGGCATCTGCCCATCACACAGTAGGTGCTTTGCAGGAGGCTTCGACATTCCCAAGACTTCCCAGGCGAGCCTTCTGAGGCAGCAGGTTAGAGGAGCAGAGGGAGGGACAGGGCTCAGCCACACCGAGTTTTCATCCAGGAATTACAATGCGCTCACCTCTTTCTTCAGATGTTAGAGGTAATGAAAGCTAAGTTTTCACCGACCAGCCACACAGTAGCCTGAACTGAGGAGTTGTAGCCTGAGGTTGTTAAGAGATGGGAGGCACAGGGACACATTTCCTACTTTCCAGAAGGATGTTTGGCCATCTGAAGGTAGGGAGTAGCCAGCCAAAGCTCTGCCTCGAGGCCTCGAAGAGCAGCCGAACAAAGGGTCACAGAGAAAGCGTAGAAGCTCAAAGAGGGAAGGATTGCGCCAATAATCCAAAGCAAGCGTATTTTTGAACATTCACCATTACACTATGAAACCAGGAGCAAAACACCATTTCTTGAAGCTACTAGGCCTATGTTTGATCGTCTTGCCTAAGAGCTTTTTGAGAATCATCCTGAAAAACAGTGCACTCAAGTAGTAAGCAAACGAAGCACACACGTTCAGAGATTTCATCCTATTGTGGAGTATAGCACTGTGCTAGTAGAATCATTTCAATTAAATTTCAAAGCCAAGTTATTTTCTTGTGTGTAAAAGATAATGTGACTGATTTTTTAAATTATAACTTACCTTGTATGCAGTTTTTCACTCACAAAAATTATATGACACATAGAAATATTTATGTATCTTCACGTGTATAGGGCCCAGGGTGTTGGTATCTAGGGCAACACTGGTCTATTAATGCAAAGAAGGTTTTGCTGACTTGCTTTGGGTTCATGTTTTAAAGTGTATTTTATTTTGTTTGGGCTAAATAAGATGCCTAGAACCAGATAACAAATAGCTGAAATCTCAAAATATTCCTTCCTTTATGAGGAGGAAATGATCAGATTACCAGAGGTTACCGTTACGGAAATATGCTAGAGGATTCACCCAGTAGATAGACAAGCAAGTCCCAGTTGCAAGAAATGTCAATACTGTGTATAAAGGTTCTGTGTATAACAGGAATAATGCCAACTCAATTCAGATGTGAGTGCTTGTGTACTTATGAGCAACCTCAGACACACAAACCATCACTATGCAAATGGAAGCATTCTACATCGTGCGTCGTTGATTTTACTGCTCAGTACTCTAACATATATGAGGTTGGTTGTACCTACAAAGGCTACTAAGATCACTTAGCTAACCTCATCTCTCTTGGACAGGGGTCTTGTTTCTTAATTAAAACACATATGCTTTCAACAGTGAAAATCCAAAGACTTTCTTGGGTAAAGAATATGTATTGTTAAGCCCTATAACTTAACATATGAGCTACACCTCATCTGTACTGTTGAAAGTCAACTTTTGCCATAGAGAAATGTTTTGTGTGATGGGAACCCAGTTACTTATGGGCCACTTAGCTTGTCCCCCAAACTGAAGCAGGGGTTTTATGAGTCCACAGGAAAGAACTGGCTTAAGAACAGGAGTCCTCCAATTCCACCTCCACATTCCACTTACCATCCGGGCAACCTGGGCAGCCCCAACCTCTCCAAGTGCCAGGCTGCTGCTTTTAAAAGGATGGCTGTACCAATGGCAGTCCCTGATTTGCCTGTTCTTGGAGTTTCAAAGGGCTCTTGTTCCAACAAAGTTGAACTTTTAAGTACAGCACATATAACTGCTTAATGTTTTAATAAAACGTGGTTCCCTTTGTTCCCTTTAGATTGATCTCAAAGAAAATCATCCTAAAGATAAAACAACCATTCTTGCTTTGCTTTGCTTTGCTTTCCTGGAAAAATAAGGTTTATGTCTCATGTATGCAGATGTTTATCTTTTTGTCATTCGTGTTTCATAACAATGCAACACTGATTAAACATCAAAGGGACATAAAAAAGGAAAGAGAGCACCAGAGATACATGACTTCAGTGATTTAAGACAAAAGTGGTTCCATACAGCCATTAGTTTCTAATACTTAAAAAGAAACCACTGAATTGACATTAAAGCACCAGAAATAGTGATGGGTACTTGATCTTTGCTTTCTCTGTTTAAATATGCTATAATTTGTTCAAAACTACACAAGCAAGATCCATTTATCTGCATCTCCGACTCATTTGTATGAGGAACATGCTGGATTTAATGAAGCCAACAGTGGTGTTACAGGTTATTAGAGAGGTGAAGGCAGCCTCCATCAGCAGAGCTCTTAGAATAATTTCTCAGCCGACATGAAGTGCTATTATCTTAATGTACCATTCATCACCCCAACTTTTTAAAAAGGTAGAAAACATTTACGATATTAAAAAGCGTTCATTTGTAGTCTTCACCATTTTTTGAATGACCTGTGTTTGGATGTTTCCTCCTTGATGAGAAAGGAG